AAATTATAACTGCCGATATTGTGTATAGTTAAGGCTCAAGCAGTTACCCTTAATCTCCTATTCAGAAATCGCGTGCACTTTTATATAATAGAAGTTGCAAAACTTAGTTTTAAAGAGCAATTGCTTTGTTGAGTTATTTTTTCTATTGGGAAATTATTTGCTTCCGTCAAACTTTGCTTCAACTTTTAATCGTTTAATTCACATCAAACTAATGAGATTGCAGAAAAGTTTGTAATAAAATACTTGCGAATAAATTATATATTGTTTGGCTTAGTCAAAAAACGTGTAAAATTTAAAAGAACACTTTCTTAACGAATTACGTATAAATAAATCATTGTGAAGAATCAAAGCCTTACCATAGCCTGCACAGCTTCCAAAACATACAAGGATTCCTCTAAACCATTTTGATTTACTATAATCAGTCAAATTTGTTGAAGAGCAAAATAAAAAATAGTGAGATAATATTTCAATAGAGTTTTGTTAAAGGTGTTCCAAAATCACTGGCAACTGTTAAAAAAATCCAATGGACTCTAAACAAAATATTAAAATTATTAATTAAATGTGGAAGTATTATTTACCAATTTAATGCAAAAGTGTTAAATGCTAATTTTGTAGCCAAAAATACAATTAACCGCATTAAGATTTTTTTATATTTTTATATTGTTGGTTTACATATAAGATTGTATGACTTAAGAATTGCTTTAATTTCTTGTATGATTGAAACAGCGTTGCACTTAACTTTGTGTTAATATTTGTGCATATGTCTATGTGAATGTCTAGAATATGTCTGCTTATGTATATCTGATAATTATACAGAAACGTTTTATCTGGTATGCATAATAAACAGCCCCAAAAGCTGCTATCTCTCAGAATTAATAACAATATTATTCAGAATTGGCAATTCATAGCATTCAGCTTAATAGACAATTAGTACTTCCACATCTGAGAGTGGGTTGTGCGAGTACACAAGTCGGTATACAAATTAGTTAGCTTCTGAATATGACTATATATAGGTTTGCTGGTCAATACAGAGTATTGAACTCAAGGCACTCACTCAGAAATGTGTGTTTAATATCGAAATATATTTATAATAAATATTTATGTTCTTTTTGGAAACAATTTGTAAGGAGTTTAATTAAAGAGGCATAAGTATTTAGACAATAAAAATTGATTGAATAATCATTAAGGAGTGAATCATCATATTAGTAAAATCATTTTTGAGTCTAACTTGAGCAAACTGGCATTTTTAAATGGGTAAAAAAACAGCCGAAACTTGTAAAATTTAGTAAGCATTAGAAACAAAAATAAAAAAATAGTGCGCGTAAGGATCACACGCGATTGAATTGAAACTTATTTGCTACGTTAAGTTGCAAATTTAAGTTAAGTAAAAATAAATACATCATATAACAATTTTCAATAAAGTTTAATAGTAATATGATAGCACTTGTGATGCACACATTTATTAGTGTCAACCATTATACACATTTATATAATGATAAATTATAAATTATATATTTATAATAGCATTTAAAAATATGTATAATATTTAAAAATAATGTAATTAAAGTCATACTTCAAATATGACATGATCAGTTTGTCATTGTAATTAGCATTTAGAAATGAACCTTCAGTAGAGAAATGAAGTAATTGCTGATTAATTTATTCTTTAATGCTTGTTCACACAGTGGATTATGTTGAACAATGTCTAAACAAATATTGTTTTTGCAGCTTCACTCATCATGTAATTGTGTTTGAAGAACTTGATGTATTTAAAATTAACATACATTCATTGACTACTTAAATTTTTTTCACTTTTTGCTGGCGATATAATCTTATTCTTTGAACAGCTGTAATTTTTGTCTTGCCTATAAAATATTCAATTTTAATAACCTCAAAGATTTATAGAAACTACGAATAATATATAAATAATTTTTAATCAACAAACTTTCGTTTGTTTGTTTAATTATTTTCAACGAACAAGGTAAAATATTCTGATTCAGGCATGTTTCATTAAATCAAGATTTGTACTACGATGTAACTTCAGAATATTTATTTATCTATGCCGATTTCCTTGTCGATATCGGTACGCATACAACATTGATGCCAGTACGCATACAACGACAGATCTCTATTCACATACACGACGACTAATACAATCGACCCGTATAGAAATATTATTGAGAGCAAATGACGAATCATTGGCACTCGACTCTTATCTTATCGACTCTTATCTGCCGTAACTCACTTTTGTTGCATTTGTACAGATTTACACCCTAGTCGCGCCTAAAGAAGTTTTACTTCAAAATCTACAATGAATTATATAGAGTTTTTGGTATTAAGTGTCAACCTTATATAAACCTGCCTTACTAACAAACTAGTAG